TCTATCTATCTATCTATCTATCTATCTATCTATCTATCTATCTATCTATCTATTTTTCAAAGTTGTCGCCGCATCTCTCACTGCAAAGCAACTCTGGGAGGTTTACAGTAAAAGGAAGAAATGTTAATTAAAATAGAATAAATACATTAAAATACATTACAAGAAGACTTCCTATATAAATAATAAATATATTCCAAGAAATTGACATTAACTAGGAATTATTAGACTCAGGGAGTGTCTTCAAGGCACCAGCCACCCCAGAGTTAGTTGTATCCCTTCTCCTTCCACGCAAGTTGGTAGAGCCAGGTCTTCACCCCTTTGTAGAAGGCCGGGAGAGTGGGGGTCCCACCTCACCTCTGGGGGAAGAACGTTCCATAGGGCAGGGGCAACAGCACAGAAGGGTCTCCTCCTGGGTCCTGCCAGGTGACATTCTTTTGTAGATGGGATCCATAGCATACCTTCTCTACCTCATCGGGTGAGATGGGTCAACATATTATGAAGGCAGATGCCAGGAACTGGAGGGAAGAGGGATGCTCACGCAGGCTAAAATGGCCAACAGAAGTTGGCAGATCCCACCTCAGCAACCATACTGTTCATGAAATCTGCTACATCATAACCACTGCAAGACTGTATTGTAGAAGAGGAAAAAACACTAGCACTGAAACAGCTAAAACATTCTGTGGACAGAAGATGAGACAAAGGCAATGAGAAGAGGGCATAACATTAAAAAAAAAAAAATCCTGGGCATGTTTATGCTTAGTTGAGAGGTTGTGGGGATGAACCTCTTATCAAGCCAAAGAGCTCAGAACAAAGTCCTTTCAATTGCAAAATAGAACGAGCTGAAATTTGCAACAAAGAAAACAGTGCAATTTATCAGCTTCCTTCAATTATTATGCAGTTAGATTTCAGCTCTAAGTCTTCCATTCATATCAAGCATGATATTTTTTCAATTTGCTTTCTTATTTTTCCCACCCCAATCCAAAGCTAGATAACAAATGAAGAAAGTTATACCAAACTCCCACATCAGATTCAAGTTCCCCGTGGTTTGCCCATGTAATACTACCATGATCAGTAAATGCTGGGCCCCAAAGTCTTGTCTTAAGACTTGAAAGCCATTTTCAGCCAAAATTCTCTGTAAGAAAATCCTTACGAGTGAAAAACAGCCAGCCACAAAGGTTAAAAAGGAGGAACAAATGTAGCCAGGAATAGAATTCTGGTTTGGGGAATTTATAAGTTATATTTAGAAAATAATACAGTAGAACATGATAAACCAACGTGGTTAAATATTTACATAGAATCTCTATATTAATAGACCCACCCCTCCCTAAAAGGAATCAGACAAAGACATCAAGTTAACTGAATTTGTGGAAGCAAGTTAGTAAATAATGAACATGTATACAGAAAAATGTTATTATATACATTTACTCAGGAATAGAAGATAGTCAGGGAGTGGCAAATATTTAACATCATCACTGAAACAAATTGCAGAGAAATCATTCTTCATCTTGGATATATTCTGTTTCTGTCTCTCCCTCTCTTTTCTCCAGCATCCATGACAGACTTTGAAGGGTCAAGGTGATCAATCACTTAGGTTTATTCCAAACTGGGTTAGCAATTGGAGGTGACTGGTATTATTTCATAGGTTATAAAGAAACAGCAAACACTATTGAGAGAGAAAATGTCTTTCAGCAAATGTCAGTTTCACCAAAGTCTAAGAAAGTGACAGTTTTCAACACTGCCTTAAGCAATGTGGTTTGCTTTAAGCTGAACGTGGTGCATAAACCCAGCCCATAGCTTGTAAACCATAGTTTACAGCTCAGCATGTTGTGGAAACCTAGCCAATCATAGTTTATTCAAGATTAAAACGGAGCTTAATGTGATGTAGGAAGTAAACTAATGACTGGTTCTACCATTGTTGCGGGAAGCAGCTTACATGACTGAACCAGTTCCAAATTACCAACCTGCACTCAGATACTATAAAGACCAGGTCAATGTGCTCAAATAGACATCCAGGTATCTCTATCCAGGAATACTTTTATTTGCAGTCTTCTCCTTCTGACCAAATGGCTCTCTTCCCTTTGTCTTTTGGCCATCATTTGGTGAAAAATACTTGCCATTCTTCATGCGACAGAGATCAGCTCTGAAGGAAAACCCTGGAATGGAAGAGGGAAGTTGTCGGCAATCCAAAACACAAGTAAGTGCTTAGTCTTCTTGCAACCCTATAAAATGTGCCATCTCCTAAAGCAGGGTTCCTCAACCTTGTCCACTTGAAGATGTGTGGACTTCAACTCCCAGAATTCCCCAGCCAGCCATGCTGGCTGGGGA